ACTACTACTTCTGCTACTACTACTATGGGCTAAATGCTAAATATCAATGAGAAATAAAAAAAAATGGAACCTCTCCAGTCCATAAAACTTTAAAACATCTCGACTCCAAAAACGACAGACTGCTAGCTAGAACCAAAACCCTGAAGCCCTGAACCCCCAGAAAAGGCAAACCCTCAAAACTCGTTCAATCTTAAAGCTCGAAGCTTGGGCTTCAGGACTGCATGAACCTTAGCCCTGAACCCAAAACGCCCTGGACCCCAAGTCCCTGATCCGAAAGAATGAGCCAAAAAGTGACCCCTTAAACCCTACAAGTCCCCGAGCCGTAGAAAACAGCGCACCCTGAATATCCTAAGGCCTCAAAAACCTGAAGCTTTCAAAAACCTGAATCCGGAAATGACAACCGAACACTAACAGTACCCGTGAAAGACAATGCAACACTGAACCCTTAAAGCCCTAAGCACCAAAATCCCACGCACTCCAAACAGTCTTGAATGGCGCGCCCTTCAACGGCGTGTGCTTGAATTGCACATGCTTCAAGCGTGTGTGCTTGAACTGAACCTTGCCCGTGAATCCGCATCGTGCTCGAATCGGACGTGCTCCAGACGCATGTGCTTGGATCTTATTCGAACGTGTCGCATTGCTTCAGTCGAGATGTGTGCTGGAATCTTTTTTGAAAATACACAGAAACACACACACACACACACTAACCAACTGCTTGTACACCCGAAGGCATGTGATGGGTTTGTGGAACATGGGCAAGTGGACTTCTCCTGTCCCGCGCCGCTCTCTTCCTGAGAGGGCCACCAGCAACATATGCTGCTTAATTGCCGAAGGCTAGAAGCACGGGCAGACGGACTAGATGTCCTGCTTTCCATGCGCGCGTCTACATTTCTAGGTCCTCGGCCTTTCTTATCCGTGCAAAAATTAAGCGGCCTTGGCGGCACAGCGACTGAGCCGGTCGACCTGAGCAGAACGACCGACAGGATGTAACATGATGATCGTATGCAGTGAATCAGTCAGTAGACGCAACGGCACCCAATCGTCGTCACGTTCGACTTGGGCTTGCACTGCTTCCTTGCCGAAGGTGAAGGCCCTTGGCGCTGAGTTGATTACAGCTGCAGCAAACAATGACGCAAACTATCCAGATCATTGTCTGGCGGTCCCAGCTCTTCATCATCTTCTCCGGTCTCATCGTCCTGCTCCAAACTACATTCAATCCATCACTATCATTCCGCATGGCCGTCTGCTCCTCCTGCATCCATGTTGTTACGTCATCGTCCAGCTGCATCATGAAGTGGATGCAGAGGTCTAACGCCTACAGTCTGCATTGCCATCTACAGTTGCCCTCAGCTCCCTCACAAATGTCCAAGAAGGCCTTTTTTGACTCACTTGGCAAAGGCCAATCTATATTGAAGAAAATCATGTTGAATTAGCTCTTCAGCTGCATTCTCCGCTCAAGCGTACTGCCCCCCGGCTGTCGGGAAGCTGAGTGTCGCTCTGGGATTGGAGCACTGTCTGCTCACACGCCGTTCAGGGTAAATGCCTTAATTTGCTTCCTTTGCCGGGCTGCTCGTTGCCTTCTTCGCCTCACAGTCAACACGCAGCATCGCCTATGCAAGCCCAGAACTTCTCCGCAAATGCCCCCACCGACAACCCACCTTGACAGCGTCAGGCTTTTTGAAAAGGTAATGGGCCACGATCCACTCGTTACCATCCTTGTAGCCCCAGAGTTCTGCGCAGGCCATGAAGAAGGCCCTCAGGACAGAGCACGTGGACTCCTTCTTTTGTTCCGCCAACATGCGGAGTAATCGCAGCTCAGTTCGAGCCTCCATCGATTGAACCACATAACTTCAGTGCCTGCACATTCAAGCAACTTCATTTGCTTATGATATCTGATCTGGTGGCTTAAAACTCTGCAAGAAGCGCGACCTGCAGGGTAGGTCTGCTTCAGCAACTCCATGACCTCCGTCCAGATGTTCACCCTCGCTCTTTTCCCAGGAAAAACTTACAATCAGCTAGACGTCAATGAGAGCATGGCCTTTTCGGAGTTCTCGTCAAGATTCTGCAGCCATCCCTCTGCAGTGAGCTGGTAGTGTCGACCATTCACATGCCAGTGCTTCTCCTGTCGACCCGATGTTGGAAAGCATGGTGCAGAAATTGTCTATTCACGAAGCCAGGCTCCAGCTGCAAATGCCGCTGAAAGTAGAAGAGGAGGTCGGCAGAAGGCATGGTACCCCCCGCGAAGAAGTACCGAGCCATCCAGTCTGCACAATTTACAATCCGAGCTGAGCTTGTAAGATGATACATCGCATGCAATGTCCCTAGAGGGGTGGAAAAGGGTAGGCGTCAGGGTAGGGAAGGGTAGCATAAGGAGATGATGCAGGGACATGAGGTGGATAGGCACACGAACAGGACATGCCATTGCGAGCCTGCTTCAGATCTGGCCACGAAGTGGTACGGAAAGCGGGTGTGCCTTGCCAATAAACGACACGATCAGGTCCCACTATCCAGTCCACCTACCCACCTGTCTGGCTACATTACATACATATCCCTTTGTCCATGTGTTTATGTAACGGATTTGGTGTTTGTTCATCTTCTTGCCGTCACTAACCCACCTAACAATCTTTCTTTCTTCTTTTCTATCTTCGTGTTCTTTCGGGCTCAACTTGCCGTCGTTTCGTGCACTAACCTGTGAGCTCTGGGTTGGTTTCTGGGCATTACGATCTCGCATCTCCGGCTTCGGGTTTACCCGGACCACCCTGTTCACACAAGGTGTGCTTGACCCGCACACTCCACCGCCTTTTTCGGGGTAACACCCCAAGCCTTTCCATTGCGTTCCACTGGGAGCAAGCCGACCCTGAAGCTGACGCTGCATGCGTGGAAAACCCCATGTTAGGGGTTGTGGGCTTTTTCAGGTGCTTTTCTTTCTGGGTTCCAGGTTCTGTGTTCCCAAATTGGGGTCCAGCTTGCAAGTGTTTTGCTTCGGTGCTCTTTCCGTACCGTTTCTCTCCACCTTCGCTAGATACGTACCGGGGGAAACCCCTTCTCTCCAACCTTGCCAATTAGCTAGACGGGCCGCTGGAGCCACCCATACACAGTGACTTCCTTGCCTCCTCTCGAGGCCTTGTACCATACTACATCTTGCATTTTTGGTTGAACCGACGCTTACCCCTTCCTGGCTGCAGCTCAAGTTGAGCAGGAGTATTCTCTCCTAATGCACCCTTTTTCCTTGCAGTGTCATGTGAACTCAACTTGAGCCTTGAGTTTAGTGGCTTGCTGAGCCCTGAAACCTATTGAAACCGTGTCGCACAATCCTACTTGTTGCTAGGCTATCTTTGTGAGCGTACGCCTTTTTTGTGCGACTACTCTGCCTCTTTGGAGTTTGCCCGCTTCGTTCTTTGGCACCCGCAACTGTCGGGGGCGCACTAGCGCGCAGTGTAGAGGGTAACCCCTGCACCACAACCCTGGCGAAAGAAGAGAGAGAGAGAGAGAGCGAGAGAGAGAGAGAGAGAGAGAGAGAGAGAGAGTCCTCTGGAGGCGTTTCCTCTGTGGAAATCCTGCAAGATACGGTGGCACTCCCAACTCGGACTCCGGGGAGAACAAGTCAGACGCACCTTGGGAAGCCGACCTGCACCACAACTACCGGAGGAAGGAGGCTGAGAGACGGAAGACGCCACCGCCAAGTCAGGGGGAAGCCACCAAGAGCAAGGACAGCGACCTGCACCGGAAACCAGCCACGCGGGCGACGGCGCCCCAAACACCTCGCAGACAGCAATGGGGGCTCTCAACGCTCCCGATCGGGGGGACTCCGCTGCCGTGGACTTCGTCAACGTCAAGGAAGAGCGCGTGGATTGCGACGATGCCGACCTGAGGGAGAGCATTGGCAGAGAGGCCGCTTCCCCTTGAACCGCTCGCGGCTTGAGCCAAAATGGCTCGCTCTCTCTCTCTCTCTCTCTCTCTCTCTCTCGCTCTCGTCGCTCTCTCTGATCCTGCGATCCAAGATGCACGAAGATGTGCACAAACAGCTTGCCACCAGGCCGAAGTGTTGCCGAGACTCGCTCGAGCAAGATGTCATAGTTCTTCATGTGTCTCAGCAGCGCAGCGCAGCATCACAGGCCAAGCGCAAAAGACCCAGGCTGCAAATGATTCCACGAATGAAACTCGGCATGTTACAAAAGCACGATCGCATAAATGGGACTACTTGCGTACGAAGTTCTCCATCATCTCCACGGACACGACTCGATCGAAGCCTTCTGCTTCAGGCCGCTCCTTCTTCAGGACAGGGAGAGCCGCATCCACCAACGGGACTTTCGACACGTCGCAGGTAACTATTCGCAAGTTCCTTGTGCCAGGCACTCGAAGCTGCAGCACGTCTAGTTTGGCGCCATACTATGCCGAGAGTCGACAGACCTCGCTGCTTGGCTTGTTCCATGATCCAACCACGCTGGCCATGCGAGTTTGACACCCCAACGACCAAGGCTTTCCGAAACTTTTCTGCCAAGAAAAGGCTGGCCGAACCCCAGCCACATCCAAGGTCGAGGATTGCCATGCCGTCCTTTCGCGAGTACACACTTAGGAAGCCCGTGCTATACTACACGAAAAAAAAACGGAAGCCGCTCCTGCAAGCCAGCCTTCTCTACGTAGTCTTCCAAAGAGCGCTCTTCAGCTGCGGGGAGCTCGGCTGCGCGGCTGGCCAGGTGACCAGCGGCATCTTCTGGAAAGATGCACCCAGAATACTTCTTTCCTCAGATTTCTCAGTTTCGACACCGTCAAGGCAACACAGTGTTCCAGGTGCAGTGCACGGGTCGTGGTCCCAACCATATGTGGTACAGCTCGGGTGGAACCTCGTAGTGCTGCTCGTTCGCTTCTGCAGTACCTGAGGCAAGATCTGTGCCTATCCGGGACAGTACCTGTGCAGGCTGCAAAGCAAGCTGCAAATTGCGATAGGCATTGTCTTCAGGGAGTCGATGAAGTCTTGCTTGGCTTCTTGATCCAGTCGGACGCAACCGTGTGTCTCTTCGCTAATTTTCTGCGCCAGCTTGAAACGTATTCCGACCTGTCTTCCACATGCGAATATGCAAAAGCTTGGGCTTGGGCCTTCGCCCGCAATCATAAGCAGGAAGCAAACTGCAATCGGCGACAATGCCTTCTGTTGGACCGCCTACAGTGCAGACCAAGTAGCTCGAGTTAGCCAGTCTGGCATCAAGCCACGATCCAGTAAACGCTGAGCACTACCCACGCACATCTGAATGCAGGTAGTTTTCGGCCGTTTCAGTGCTCGCCACCCGCTCGACAAGAGACCGGCATTGGAGGCATGGAGAGCATCACCGTCGAAGGACCGCTCCTTCCTCTTTTTTGATGTTTTGCCGACATCACTTTCCAGTTGCTTCTGCAGGCAGACTTGCCAATCATCGATGTGTCCCACTTCGAAACCAATTTCACAATAGGCGAAGTAGTAGTGCCATTGCCGAATGAACTTGTCATCGAAGCCCTTGCCGAAGGTGCTGACCTCTGCTCGGATGTCTTTCTCATGAGCAGCAAATCGTCGTCGCCACTCATGCAATGTCTTCGCATAGTCGAGGCCAACAGAGAAGGGCGGCGCAGCCTCCACCAAGGCCGTCCTTCCCTTCTCGCAGGCACGCTCAATCTCTTTCAGGCTCACCAAATTGGAGCCAGGGAAGATCCGCTCTCGGATGAAGTCGGATCCAGCTCGATAGGACTCGTAGCGGGCGTCCGGCACACAAATCGCTTGAATGGAAGCCTTCCCTCCTGGCTTCAAGCACTCGTCTATGGCAGCGAAGTAAGCTGGAAGGTATTCGTGACCAACGGCCTCGATCATCTCACAGCTGACAACTTTGGAGAATGCCCCCGAGCCAAACTTAGAAGCTGCATCCCGGTAGTCGCAGAAAACAACCTTGATGCGGCTGCTGAAACCTGCGGCTGCGATGCGCTCCTCAGCCAGCTTCAACTGTTCCTGGGACAATGTGATGGCCGTCCATGACAGGTTTGCACATCGCTGCGCACCTCGGATTGCCATGCTCCCCCAGCCACAGCCAATTTCCAGCACCTTGTCACCGTCTTCCAGATCTATCAAGTCCAGCATGCGATCCAGCTTTTTCATTTGTGCCAGCTCGAGGAAATCTCCACTTTTCCTTGCCTTCATGGCCTCGACCTCCTTGTCGAAAATCCCAGCCGAGTATGTCATGTCTTTACTCAAGAACATCTTGAACATGTTATTGGACAAATCGTAGTGGTCCGCGATGTTTCGCTTTGAACCATCCTGACTGTTGGCCCTGCCAGCATGTAGGTGAGCATAGTATCTCTTCGCCAGGGAGGAGACTAGCCTGACTGGCGACCAGGCCATGGGCGAAGACTCATCCCCCTTTTCCTGTCTCTGCCATTTTCAAGTCTTGCAAGCAGCGGAGTCTACGAATGTCTACGACTACTGCCTTGGCGTGATTCCAGCTCTGGTGCTCCCGCCTTGTTGCTCAGCACCAGTCGGAACAGGTCGGTTATGTCTGGCTTCACGTCGATGTCGCCCTTTCCAAACAGACAGTGACAGCTGCGACAGCTGCGATGTGAAGATCCTGGGGTTGAGGCCTCGATGTAGCTGTCGGCGAGGCCCAGTCCTGGATCCAGTGCCATTCTTTGGACAAAGCGACCATTACCTCAGACACGTGGTCCCTCTGGCAAGCACTTGACGACTCAGGCATTTTGCAGCTGAACTGGGCCCCGAAAATTGCCGATGTGCTGAGGGCGGGACGAACATAGACCTTCACACTCACACCGCTGCCGTCACCAAAAGTGTGCTTCTCTCCGCCAGCAAACTCCACGACCAGTGAGCCCCTCTTTAACATCTTCTGCAGGCCCGGCATTAAAGCACACGACCTTCGAGCAATAGCTTCCGAATCTGTGGGTCGCACGCAACAACATGAAAGCCTTCAGACGACCCCCTACACAGCTCAAGGTAGGCTGCGTACCAAAGGTTCCTCATCATTGCAGAGGGCGCTGGGTCGCCATCCGAGGCCATGTTTCGCAATCTGCTCTGTCACGGATCCGCAACGTAAGAAGAACCATGCAGCCGCTGCAGCCGGCCGATCTTTGGACCAAATGGCTAAAACAAAGCATTTCTGTCACGACTCTGCGTACCCTTCTTGGCAGTACCGTGCATAGCGCCTGCTCAATGTAGTTCGGGATCTTCACCATCATTTTCGGCTTGCTCTCCATGAAGGTGATAATTACCTACTAGACTGGTGGACACCGACGGATCATGCCAGCAAACCTGCTTCTAGACAATGAAACCGGTCCAAAGAAGCTACATGTCATCCATGTCATGGCTGTACCTCGAACGCGTACTTCCGAGACGAGTTGTCTTGGTGTGACCTTGTCTGATCAACGACCAGGTTCATCGCGGCATGTGTGGTCATGGGTCATAAGGCTCCTGCTTCGCAATGCCGCAGAATACTGGCATCAGATGTGATGCGATCTTAGTCCGGTGCTCATTCGGGAACATTTCCAAAATCACCGCATGAGAAGCTTGAAGTAACTGGGTCCACTACATGCTGCTTGTAGAAGTCTGCAGTCTCCGTCGCTTGAAACGACAGCAGGACAGTGTTCAAATGCCTCGGCAATTTGTTGCACAGTGCGAGATGGAAATCCAGCTTTCCCAACATAAACGAACTTCGTGTCAGACTTTTTGACGGATACTTGTACTACTCTTCGCCCTCGGCTGACACTTGCCCTGAAGACTTGGCACAAGACTTGGCATCTGCGCTGGATGCTAGCTGCGCTGTTACTCGACTCACCTGAACAGTTCTGACAATGCCGTTTCTATGGTCATTCGAAGCTCCGGCGAGATACTCATACTCGAACTCAGAGCCTCCGGTATGAGAGGCTGGAATGGCTTGCGCTCCTAGATGCAGCACGGGTTCACCATAAGCATCCACCAGCCGGGTAGCACTCACCTCTTTTTTCTCGATGCTGTCTACGAGCGAAGTGACAAGCGCAGCAGCTTCTGCACGGACCTCGGATGTAGCACGTGCGAACCCAGCTTCGAGAGCAGCTGCTGCAATCTGAGAGATGCACAGGATCAGCGGAATCTTCTAAACACGTGTGCAGCACCTGCGCAAAAGCTCGTGAGGCGCAACTCGTGAAGCATGACATGGAACCAGATGCTGTCGAGCCTGGCCACTCTGAGTAGTGTTGGCGACGAGCATTTGCCAAACGGAGAGAACTAGCTCCTAGGAGGCAAGCAGCATTGCGGCATGTTTTCGGTCCAAGCTTCCAGCCTTCACAATCCAGAGGCAGTCTGCTCGGAGGTTGCTGTCCTCCGCAGAAAGCTGGGCTTGCGTCGCTTGGAATCCGGAGTCGCGATGAACGAGTAAGAGTCCTTGCTCTTGTCGCAGATTATGCGGAAAAGGCCAGGCATCAGCGTAGGCCACTCCTGTACAGCACTTGCCAAAGATTCTGAAACACTGCAGAGTGTCCGAATCCTGAATGTTTTGCGGACGCTGATTTTCTTCAATGTTGATGATCTGGTTCCCAAGGCTCTGGATGCAGTCTGAAACCTGGACAGTGTTCAGCAAAGCCCTTCTGATCCTTCAGCTCCCGACGACAACCTGCCTTCTTCCGCACTTGTGTCGCCGGTTCTGCCTTGCCGAGCGAATCAAAGAGCGCCCTTTAGCCTTGCAAGCTGGCCGGTGCCTCCAGCAACTGCAAAAGCTTCTCCTTGACATCCTCCTGCAGCCCGCAAAATGCAACCGATCAACTAACAACCGAACGGCAGAGACAACTTCAATCCTGATTTGCGCCGAGTTTTTGCCACGTGGAATCGGTATCCTTGACCTCACAAGGTGTAGATGCAGGAAGTCGGCTCCGGCAAGGCACTCATGACAAACTCGCGTGCTTGGCCTTGCTGCAGCACTGCCTGAGCAGCACGGCGCTTTGCTCACGCACCTTGGCACATCGTACAAAGCACCGGACAAGGCCGACCCTGAGAAGCTGAGACCAGTGCGGCTACTTCAAGCTCTGAGTGCTGCAGGACCTGATCTCCCGGACATGTGGACGCTGACACCGTTGCCGCTACCTACTCTTACTGACAAGCACTGACAAGCACGTATGGGGTCATAAGCAGCACGGGACTTCGTCGAAGGGAGCAGCTTCTCAGACGGGAGCACTAGGCGGATAGAAAAACTAAGTTCATCCAACATAAACATACATTCTTCCTGGCAATTGAGTTTCAAGACTGGGGCTTCCCGCGATGCAGACGCCGATCCCGTGGCTGTTCGAGAGTGAGTTGAGCAGCGGAGCCGGAGTTCTACAGCTATACAGGCTATACAAGCTGCCAGTTGTTTTCCTGACGCTCATGCAACCAGCTGTTGTTGAGGTTGGCCATTGCACGCGAGTCGTCCCTTCAAGTGTACGATTGAGTGCTTTCAATCGGTTCATGGGGTGCAAGGCCCTTTCGGTTTGTTGATTCAGATCCCTTTGGCAGTGGCCTTTGAATTGAAGATCTCCGAGTGTTTGTCTGGAGCATTTAGTTCATGCAGACGCACACCCAGCTTCATGTGGTGCTGAGCCCAGTGCCGCGACTAGCGATGCGACAACTGTAGCTGGCTCGTTCCTGCCAATAGCGCAGGTCTCGCTGTTTCAGGCCTCAGCTCGCACACCTGCCTCTTTGCCGTGTCGTATCGCGTCTCTGCCGCATTTCTCACAGCGTTGTCCGTGCCTTGCAATACTGCGACATGCTGACGGCTAGACAAGATCAATGTGTGCACACTGCGGGCACGGCCCAAGAGCTGTTGAATGGTTTCCACGAAGCTGCGATCCAAGGTCTGCCAGCGAGCAAGAACAAGCAGCACTCCGGAAAAAATGCCACTGCAGCTGCTCCTGTCGCGGGGGTGGAGCAAAACCCATTTGATTCGACATGGACCTGTTCGCACTGTTCGGCTGCACGCTGGGTTCCGGCCTTTTTGAACAATCATTCTTAGATTGAAAAAGCTTCTCAACGTCTCACTGGCAATCGTATCGTCCCAAGTACCGCATGATTTCAAAGCCCAAATGCGGCCGATGCAATCCACTACGAACCGTAGACGGTGCTTTCAGAATTCACTAGTTCTCAGGCCCCGGCGCAGGGTCTGCTTGACGCACACAGACGTCAAAATGTTGTAGGCTTGTGTATGCGTGTGTCTCTTTGCAGCCTGCATCTCTTGATCTAAGGCTCGGGAGAACTGACGGGTGGCCCGTCATTGACATGCACAGGAGATGCGAGAACCATGAACAAACGCTGGCAGTTCAGCGTTGAATGGAGGCTCGTGGCAGCTGCGGCGTGCATCTTAAATTAAACTATTTAGAGGCTATGCCTAAGAGGCTTAGCAGTGGAAACGATCGGCACAAAGTTGCGTGAGGTTTCTTTGGATGCACTTGCAAAATGCCTAAGGCAAGCTGCTCCGCACATTAACGTACAGCTGCGAATCCTTGGGATTGCAACTGAATGCCAGGGTCCCGCCTGAGGCTGCATGCGACTTAAACTGACCGAATCTTCCGGGTGACACAGGGCTGTCGCGCTTCCCTGCGGAGAGGCCAATGCGCGTATAGACTATGCAAACCACAGCTGCAGTGATACAAGTCTCTGCAGAATAAATGAACAAATGCACGCTACGATAGCGACGCCAGTTCATGAGAGGGACTGCATGGCTGAGGCGGTGGGTCGGTCCCCTCAATGACCTTAGGTTCACATTGCGGCCTAAAGCATCCGTGCCACCACATGGAATTCAAGTCCAAGAGACTCTGCAAGACTTTGGAGAAGTGGTCCTCTTGCCTCGCTGCCGCCACCTGTCAGGCCGAAGGCTTCGCTGGTCCGAGCGCTGGGTGGAGCGTGGAGCATGGCCGCTTCGCTCGGCGCCATGCCTTCTGTGCACTGGTGTTGATGCCAGCGAAGTTGGAATCCAGCATCCACCGCATCATCTGCAGGAAACCCACCTGTGCGGTGTTCAAAACCCTTCTTTCATGCTGTTCTAAACAGATGGTACAAGCGCCGAAGCTATCGCATTGCTGACGCGAGCTGTGGAGCATCTGGCGTGCCGGCATTTTCGAGATTCGCTGACCCGTTCACTGACGCGCCACTGCCGCGCACCGAACCCCAGCTGACGCAACCAATCTTAACGTTTATATAAACTCCCACAGGAGGGGTTTAGAACGGCGCACACCTGTTCACTTTCACATGCGGAGCAGACTTGCGACTTACGAGTTTGGGCCGTGGCAAAGCTGAGTTCGTGCTTGTCTGTCAACTGGACACGGCCTCGGCTGTCGTGTTTATGAGCGGCACAGGAGCAATGCCCAACGGAAAGAGTCTTGACTGTCTCTGCTCAAGCTGAGACGAGCTGCTTAGCTTCTCTTCCATGGCCTGTTTGGCCTGCTGGTTGATCTGCAAGTCCAGCCTGATAGATAGCACCCCTCCCCTCGAGGAAGCTAGAGCTGCGGGATGCTTTTCCTAGCCGGGCTACGATCGTAGCAGTCGCTGAAACATCGAGTGGGTGAGGCCAGGCTCTTCCTCATCCAAATCCTTCCGGGAACTGCTGAGGACCAGCTGAATTGGATGGCAAGGCATGCAAAAGCTTGCACAAAGGCCTCTGTGTCCTTCTTCTTGGCAGCAGTTTCTTGCAGAGATACACGCCTGAAATTCTGCGATTGATGGCCAAATGGCTACTTCAGCTTTGCACCACAGCAAAGGTTCAGGCTGGCCCAGCGTCCCTTCGTCCACAGCTGGATTGAGACCACCGTATTCTCGGCGCAGCAAAAACGTGAAAGGGAGAAGCTGAAAACGCATGGCCATGCTGTGCTCTCTTGTAAGCTTGGATCTGGCCCAGTTCAGGAAGACAGACCGGAAGTCATCAATCTGGAGCTTCCAACCGTGTTCAAACATTGTTTTGCTCTCACTCTGCAGCATGTTGTCATGGTCAGCTTCTCATCTTAGAGCCTCCTGCTTGGAGAAGGAGATGGCTTCAAGCAATGTTCGACTTTCTTCCTCCGCTTTGTGTGCACTTTGCCAATGCGTTCAAACAGGCACGACCGCAAAAGCTGCCGATCGCAAGCCTGTCCTCCTTCGCCTTTGCACGAAGGGTCTTCACAAGTCTGACAAGCTGTACCTTCAAAACGCTTCGGAAGCAACCTGACCCTCTGCACATCAATTGCTGCTGCAAAAGCGAGTCATCCGTCGCAGATACGGAAACACCACTTAATCTTGGGGCACGAGCTCCCAGAACGTGATCATGCTGTTGATTTTCCCCTTGGGCGATTTCACACCGGCCTGGCGGCTCGAGTCTGCGGCGAGCCGCAGGCCAAAAAACATGCCACGGAAGAGAGCGAGAGATCGAGTGGTGGCGAACAGCGCACGGAACAGCGCACGGCACAGCGCAGCCACGGAGCCTCGGCGGCGAGTTGCTTGGCCTCTTCGAGCTGGTCAAGCGCTGCCTGCCGTTCTGCGATGGTCCTCGTCGCAGGTGCACTTGACTTGCAACGGGCTCTGCAATGTCGGTGCCTGCATGGAAGTCCAAAGTCGTTCAAGAGCTCCTGCACCTGTCAGAATCCGGCGGAAACAGCAGGCAGTTTTTGGACTGCTGCGGTCGCATGTACGCGTACATCCCGGCAACTTATGCCTGCGGTCTGTCGGACACCGATCCCAACATTCTGACGACAACCGCATGGCGGCATCGAAGAGGACAAGATGCTTTCGGTTCAGCGAACTGTTGGCAGACTGGTCATGAGCATCACATAGTGTATTGACAGCAGACACGTAAAGTCGCAGCTACTGCTTGAGACGCAATTACTCCGGTTGACACTCCTAAGACATGTTCAGCGGCCGCCACAGGCAAGCGGAGTGGAACGAAATCAAGAGCTCAGAACTCAGAGATGCAACAAGTGCAAGGAAGCGCAGCTCTCTGCTTTCGCAGATGCCCTTGCCTGCTTCAAGCACCCACAACAAATGCAGCATCTCGGATGTCTGGCCAAAAGATGCTTTCCGGACGACCTATTATGTGATAATCACATGGTCACATGGTCTCGATCCAGTAAGGAATGGGTGCATGGCCTCAACGGCTCAGAAAGCTTTTAGTAGAGCCCGGAAACAACGGAAGACATAAAGCTGGCAGTCGATAGTATCATTTGTGTTGCCTACCAGAAGTCTGTCGCATAAAGGACAGAATTCACTGCCACGTCGTACATGTGCAAGTTTAATCGGCTCACTGTGCCAGGGCATTTGCTCACGAGTTGTAGCTATTTTGGCCACCAGGCGTGGTTCATCGCAGCTGCAACATCTGCTTTGTTCCACCGACGATGTTTGGACTCACCCCGTTTAACTTGTATCGCGCAACTTTCAAGCACGCAATGCGAACAAACAAAGCCGTAGCCAAAGCTGCACCATTAACATGGTAGATTATCGTGTAGCTGAAACACGCCGGCTCCGTGTCAGACTCGTATCAACAAGATGCTTACAAGTGGTACGGGATGCAGAGCCGAATCATACACGCACAAGCGCCGTGGTGCAAAAAATGCTGCACTGGAACGGACGCCACAAACCGTTACACCGGAGCATCTCGTTTGGGGCCTAGTGGCCTAGTCCAGATGATACAGTATTCCTCAAATTGTCCATGCCCATGACACTTCATGTCGTTGCAGCTACTCCAGGGCCAAAATTCCAAAAAAAAGACTCGTTAACAACAAGAAAATTAAGCCAGGTTCGAAAACGCTAACAGCGGAAAGGTAGGCGGAAAGTGTACCACCTGCTTGCACTGCGACCAACAAGACACATGCATGTATCATCAGCACAAACACGAAGCGACAAGACCTGCATCTTTGCCGAGCAAAAGGCACCTCGAAGGAATCAATATCCCCGCTCTCATCTTTGTCATAGTGCTTGAACATCTCCTGCACAAAGATGTTCTTTCGAGATGCGACATTCCCATCGGGGACTGCCACGGCTTTGCAACAAAACCTTCAATAAAACACTACTGTCTCGGGTGGAGAGGCTCCAGAGTGTTCCTTCCAGCTTCCTTAGAAACACCAAGGCAAAGCCCTCGCCTCGAGCTGGCTGATCTCGGCTGGAGAGAAGCCGGCCTCAAACAAGGGAGAGTATCGGATTGCGCTTCCCTCATAGCACTTCAGAAAGTAAGGGCTGCGCCATACGCCGTTCGGAGATCACCTTTGTCATCCGAGCTTTGTCAGCTAGCGTCACGAAGTCCTGCTTGAAAGCTCACGTGGCGAAGACGAACTAGTGACCAGCTTGCATCATGTCACTCCTCGAAGTCCACAGGTTCGGACCTCGTGGTTTGGACGGATTCCACTCACCAAAAGATTCAGATATTACACACGGAGATGGTTTCGTGTCAAGTCAAACTGCGACTGGCACTCAAAGAACCCTGCGGGAGATCCGTAAGAAGTGTCTTCAAGGGCACATCTCTGCCCACGTAGTCCTGTGTTGCATTGCAGCATCGGAGGAACCTGCTCTCTGCACATCTCTGCACACTGGGCTCCTGCACTGCCACCGGCACCAACGAGGCGTCCAACGTCTCCTTCCGGTGTCCACGGATGTCCACGGCATCCCCCGAAAGTTTCGCGAAATCTGGGCAAACCCCTCTGCTCTTCTCTCCTGGGCGACGCCGCGGTGCACAAAGATGTCGTGGAGCCTGACACTTCATGACCAAGACTGCATCACCTCAAACAGCTCAGAGGCCCCTGGTTGCGCCTAAGGCAGTCCCGGTGAGCACATGCAGGCATCGCTCCACTGACTGTCAGCTTCCCTTATGCTGAAATACCTCTCGATCAAAAGCATCCGTTCGTTTATCTTTCCTTCGGTCGGGCTGCTCCCAACATCTCCCAACCGATTCACGTAAATCTGAGCACGAGCTCCTAAGCCCAGCAGTACTGCGCATAGTCTGTCGAGCGTTCTTCATAGTCAGTGCCAGATCTGCCTTCCGCCAATTGCTGCTGCCCAGTGCGCTGCGCACAGCATTCGATCATTTGTATGTCATAAACGGCTGCTTTTCTGGCATGGACCTTGGTGCCTTGTGCGTGGACATCTTCCATTTCTCCCAGCTGGAGACTTGCGGAAAGCATGATCGGCCAAAGGTGTTGTGTTCATGTCATGGCACGGAGCGCGCCCTGCAGGTGCAAGAATGTGCAAGGTCTCTTGGATGTGGAGTGTGAGGTGCGCCCTCGACATTTCAAAGCCCAGGCCTCTTGAGCTCGGTTTCGCGGTGGAGGCGCATTAGCCGGAGGAACCTCAGCATGACCGGCCAAATTCCTGGGGGTGGAGAAGGCAGGTCGGGAGGTGGCCAGAATGGGGCCTTGACTCATTGCAGTCGAGGGTTCCGTTTCGGTTGACATCAACCTGTAGATCGTCCGAGAACTCTGCGAAACTAGAGTCGTTTTCGCGACAACTGAGCAGACAGCCTGAGCAAGCAACATGTAGAGATGGTCGGTTCCTCCGCAAAGCATGCATGACTCGAGGAGAAAGAAGACACTAACGGACAGCGCCGTCCTACGCTGAAGCCCAGAAATCGCAGCATGTCTCCCAGCTCGTGCACATTGATATTGTCAGACCTTCGGGCAGGTTCGCTTGGAACAGCTTTAGCCTGCGCGAGACGTGGGTCACTTGTAAGCTGGTTGCTCGTCACGATCGAACTTTCGAAACACATCCGCATATTCCGTAAGCTCCTCATGAGAGAATCGCTACTGTCCAAGAACCAACAATGCCGAAAGCTGCGAAAGCTGCCAAATGCTGACTTCGCTTCCTTCTGGCTGAAGCCATCGCGCTGCTTGAAGAGCAGCATGAAGTGGAAGAACTCCTCAGCTCGAATGGACAGCGGCTTCCTGGACTTTCGGTGCGCTGTCACTCCTCAAAGTCGAGTTCTGCGTCGTGCTCAAAGTCAACCTGCGCTTGTTGCTTCCGTGCTGCATGTGCCTTGCCCCAAAGCTGCTGACATACTCGGCCACGCCTCTTCCAACACCTCTCCGATCACTTGCCGCATAGGCCGATAGCCCAAAGCCTGCCTCGAGCGCACGAAACAAGCACACAAGGCATCCTCGCCCGAGATGCGAACAATCATGTACGGAAAGGGAAACACTCCAAACGTCATTCTGCTTCGGGGAGTCATGCAAAAGATCTCCTGTAACTGTTTGTCCTTGGGGTCTCGCAGTTCTTTCGCTCTACCCTAACCCTCCCCTAGACCTTTACTTTTCCCATGACCCCTTCGTGTTGAGTCACGCAGCACGGGATCTTGCAGCAGATTCTGCGTGCCGTTCCATGAAGAAGCTGTGGAAGGCAATAGAAAGAAGTTTGCGAAGCAGGAGCTCAGTGTTCTTGGTAAAGAGCAAGGTGGAGTGTTTGGCATGGAACCCAGAAGTAACATCCCGCTCATCTGTAGTCGATCCCTATTGAATCTCGCATGTTGTGTTCGAACTTCTGGTCGCTTCTTGTTTATCCGCTTTCCTCCTGTACTACTTGCATAGCGTTGTTGCTGGGATCATGCAGCTGTTTTCTCCTTTTCCTATCATTGATATAATAGTTCATAAAGCTGCTCTATTCGTACTGCCATGATTCTTGGTGTTGGCCTTACCCGTCGCGATTTTATTGGTGTTCTTTCCATGAAAGGACTGTCACCTAGTGCTGTTATTACATATGTATTCTTTGCCTTTCGTCATCTGCCATTTTATATTTGCTACATACTATGACTTTTGTATTTCTTATCATTCATCGCCGTTGCGACTTAATTCGTCTGAGCACCTATCTGCTTAAAGTATTTCATGTTTATATATTATGTATACAGTATGTTGTTAGGTAACCGCCTCCCCATCCGCTTTGGTGGTTCATGGCAAGAGCCAGGGGAATTCGAGCTTAGGCATCAAACAGCCTGTAGTTTGAATGTCCCCACACGTACTATATGTATGTGTGTCCGCACTCAACTAAGGAATTCCTACTCAGTACAAGCGTCCATTGCTGTAGCGAAATTCTACATGACCAGGCCAACTGAACTCAGTCGGGCCGATTGTGTTCACTCGGGTTTAGAGATTACTGTATATCCATCGGATTTATCAGAGGATATCCCCTCGGAAACTCAAGCTGATGGTGGCAAGTCAAAAGCGACATGAGCCAACGCCCGTTTCATTGTCAACTAATGTCATAAGTGGGCCCTTACGTGTCCTGTGTATCCATGAAAAGCACCAACAAGTGCCCTTAGCAAACGGGGCCCAATCGGTTTAGTGTTGCACTCTTAGGTTAACTTTTTGGTCTAGGCTGTAAAACAATCACTTTGAAGCTTTTAGGGCTGCAGCGTTCTCTTGCAGAATACGATCAGTTATAACCTGCAAACGGGCCCTGCAAAACGGCTGTACGCTGGGACGGCTTAGGTTTGTTGAGGGGCGCAGGGTTGGCACATATGAAACACGAAGACTGGACATGCAACCTGCCATAGAGGGCCGGAATAATGAGCTATAATTCCGAATAATACCCAATACAGCTACAGTTACAGTATGGTGTAACCTAAACATACTTAAACCCGGTTTTCCCTCATGATTAAGACTAAGACCCCTGTACTGGCAACATAAGTCCGCGCGATGTTAAGTTCTCTCTTATTTGTAAGGCCCGCGACACGTTTGTGACCCAAGGTGGTTCACAAGCGCCTATGTGTTCTAGACATCAGGCGAGATACCCTAGCTCACCCAGGTCTTCCATCTACATGCACGTCTAGATTGGAACTGCTTAAAAGAATTAAACTGAAAAATGTCTGGTGCATTTATATAATTAGCATAGGTTCATTTAAGGGGTTCTGCGGTCTGTACCGGGTTTCAGTACAGGGGCCTGCATAACTAGAATAGGGTGTTGGGATTTGCGATACAATAAATATACAGCCACGGCAAAGGAATATTGTTACTAAATATAACCGATCTTCCGTTTTTTGGTTGTGATCATAATTCTGGCGTTTGTTCCGCTGCCGAGATGTTTCACCTGTCGCTCTGTCGTTATTGTTGTTCTCCAGTCTCCCTTTCCGTCTTCATTTTCCTTGCGATGGTAACACACGGCAAGAGGCTCTCGAAAGATGACTAAACATGCCTACAAGGGCGGTTCCTGTCCAGGCAACTGCAGTTGCAACTCTCTGCTACTCAACCTGCAGTTCTTAGACCATGACGGTTTGAACTGACATCTTAGAACTCAGAGGTGAAGCTTCCGACAAGCCGTTGCGCCGCAACTAGTGTTTCCGAAACTTCCGAAGCAGTTCCACAACACCTGGCACATGCTAAGACTTGAGCAAGACATCTCGAAGCTCCATAGCACTGATGTTGCCGCTGCTGTCCTCAGCGCATGTCTACGGGTGAGTTTGATCACTGAAACTGGCTCCCGTGCCTGGTCAAACCGTTTGAAATGCCTCTTGTATTCAGCCTGACCATCATCGGCAGAACCACAGAACGGCCCCAAGAAACGTCAACCACCTCCCGGACCTGCTCAGCAATTCGCAGACCTCTCGCGAAGATCAGAAACTCATGGAACGAAAGACCTCAGCTCTGTTGCAATGGCGCACAGTTCTGCGCATGCTGGATGTTGCCATCCCGCTAGAGAAGCAGCCGAGACTTTGCTTGCCACGCAAAGCCATGCAAGGCTACCGCAAAGGATTCAGCATACACCAACGAGCACGCGCGACATGAATGAGGGACTGCAAACAGTTTCCTCGGACATGGGCTGGCCTGGAAACTTCTAAAGCAGGCGGTCAGACGAGGGGTGAAGAGTTCACCGGGGTATGGGATGGCATAAATAAGCTTGCAGCCTGGCAGGATGTCGAGGCATGACTGGCGTTTTTTTGGGGGGCGACGGAATTGCTGGCAGCGAGGTACTGTACCATGTGCTGCCGCTCAACTCTCCGCATCGATGCCAGCTCAACGACCGCTTGCTCTTCTCGGGCTGCGGCCTTCGTTCGCCCCAAACTGCCTGCAAATAGGAATTCCCAGCTGGAATCAGCTGCAGCCGCATGCATGTATGTGTAGAGCCAAGAGAGTTAAACAGTCACAGAGAGGGCTAGAGAGGGAGCGAGGGCGAGACTTGGAGTGAACTGCAGGCCCGTGCCTCTTCTGACCGTTGGCGTTGTTGCAAAGCTTGTGCGCAATGCCTTTCAACACAGCTCTTGAATGTGGGTTCTCCTGTCGCTTCGTAGCTCTATGCGCAGGGTCCCGAGTCGAGGTACCGCGGGCAAGCGAGTTGCTCGACGCTTAGATCATGGGCCCGCTCAGATCCGCTCAGCTCAGCTGGGCTCCGTCTTCGGCACTTGGCCTTGGCCTTGGCCCTGAGCGTCTGACGCACGGCGTGGCTCTCGGAGTGGAGGCCGAAGACCGCGACCTGAGAAGGTGTGAAAGTGTGGAGGGATGCTGCAATGCTCCCTGCTTTGTCCCGAGCCAGTGCGTCCTTGAGGTCGTCAATCTGTAGTTGCTGCCTCGGTGCTGTTCCGGCCATGGCATCTTCGCATCCTGCCGAGCCCGGGCAGCCCGAGATTCCAGCCCCCGCTTCAGCTTGACGGATTCGGCGACGAAGCCGGAATAAATGTCCCACATGCGCTTCACCTGTTTAAGTGATGCCTGTACAAGGCCATTGAAGTCCACAAAAACATCGGCCTCCTCTTTTGTGAAGCCTTCGGTGTGCTGGTAGACCTGCAGCACTGCAAATCGTTAAGAAGTTGGGGCGTACCCCTTGCCCCTGTATCTGCCGGGCTGCGGCTCTGCACTCTACACACAACGGTCACGAAGCAATGAGCCACGGGCGGTCAGAAAATAAATGAATTCTTCGAAGTTCCTGGATGCAGCTGTCGGGAATGCGTGCGTGTAAAACTGGCAGTATCCGACTCATAGCTCATCTTGCACAAATCCACACTTGCGATCCGAGCGACAGCTGGCCATTGCCATCATCATCGACCACTTCCAATGCCTTTGCAAGACCACTGCAAAAAGATGTTTGGAATCAAGCTTTGATGGTATGCCCTGCCGGCACAAGTGACGTAAAGAAACATGGCTGATATCTGTGAAGTTGGTCTTGCCCTGCTAGCCCGTTGTGAACAACCGCTCGTGGATGACAACGTGACCGCCATGTATCTGCTTCCTATCAAGTCTCCTCCTCAATCATCTGCCGCACAACGACGATGCCGATGCTGAGAAGCAACCTAAACCGATCAGCTGCTTCAATAGTCGAAGGTACAAACCTGGGCTCACATGGCCCCAGAAACCAGGCGGCAGACTTTCTCAGCTCTGAAATCTCGATTTCTCCGCTGCCTACCAGTTCCCCACAGTTCGCCGCGGCTCCACATCTTTGTCTCAGACTGGGGAACAGACCATCACAATCAAATCTGTCGAAAACGACTTGGTACAGATCAAACTGGGCTCGGCTGTACCTGGCCGATGCTGTGCGCGACATGATAAGAGAAGGACTTAGAGTACGGCCCTTCTTGGGACAACCCGAAACCCATGTCCGTTCATGAGTCAACTGCACGCATGGAAACATCTTCCTGAAACGAAGAGCGCACTTCTCCACGAACTCCAGGAACTCATTGAAGTCCATCTCCTTAAAGGACCTGGCGTTTGCACTACAGCAGGCCCAATTCTGCCCGACTCGAAGGCTACCCCTGAAACAGCTCGCAACAGCTCGATCTCAGGATGGGACGTCACCTGTCCGGCAACTTGGTTAAGCTCCTCTTCGGACGTCACCTAGTTGTGTGTCGTGCAGACGGTGTGTGGGATGTAGCGAACACGAATCAAAACAGGGGCATCTTTCGATGAAGCTTTGTTACATAATGGCTGTCTCATCAACCACCCATAACTCCCACCAGTGCTCGAAGGTGTCATCATATCATTCTTAGAGAGGCTGGACAAAATCAGGCCTGAGCCTAAAACTTTCTACGATCTAGGTCGAAAGACATGTCCGAAAGTTTCAGGGGGAGCATAACAGGAAGAAGGTAGTCACGCCAAAAAAGTGAATGTGTGTTGGACGCCTCTGCAAACATCTGGGACCTTCACGACAGAGGCGGATTGGCACGACGGAGTCTTTCGGACCTACCACCGCCGATAAGAACGTCGCTGAATTGAAAGCCTTTGGGTCCCCCTTCTCAGCCACGGCCCTGCACAGACATTACCTCGCTGCTGCACTTTGCCCTACATGGGGTCAGATTCCGCCAGCCATGAGCTGGCTGGCAAGTCTGTGCACTCGGTGTTTCTTCTCGGTTAAAGAACACTGCTCGATGCCTCGGCCAGCACATGTTGGGATTCCTGACGATTTGGAGGTTCTGGGGAGCCCACATGGCCTCGAAACTTGAACCTCTGCGAAGCCTCGGCGCCGGACGACGTAGCCCAAGAACTCCATGGCGTGCGGCAGGTCATCCTGGCGAGCAAGGCTGTTCAAAGCTTCAGCAAAGCTTCAGCCTGCTGCCGCGGCCACACACGATTTTGCCAGAGGGTCCTGCAAAATCTCATTGCCGGTGGAGTTGCGAAAGCGGTTGAAGACCATCCTCATGCGCTGCACTGTTGCCTCACCATGGCGAGAGAGACAGCAAGCCAGCTGTGCTGAAGTGGACTCTAAATTACTAAAGGACCTCGTCCATCATGTCTGCCTTGCCGAAGTACGTGTTTTGAATCTGCTCCAGACCTGTGAAGAAATCACAAGAAACCCTTTGGTCACCCGTGAATCGCTAAAGCAAAAGCACCGGGCGATCTTGGAGGTTTGGCAGGCCGTATGAGGCATCATCGCGTCCCTTATGTGATCCACAGTCGCAGGGATGCAATGCATCCATGCGCAAGGCGACAGCATCACACACACACACACGCACGCACTCACACACCGTGATTGCCCCACGGTTGCTTAGGTTCCCACGAGCGTCTTCCACTTCGTGGAAAACTGCTGTGTGAGCTTCTTCCCTGGTGCCGCTTCGATTAGAACAAAACACAAGCACACGAACGCCAGTCTTGACCAGCAACCCAAGCACCCGTGCGTGTCCTTGCTTTGACACGGGTCGTCTTGATTTCGGAGAGGGTGCCGTTGATCCTGAGAACACGCGCATGATACCAGCAGGAGTCTGTCGAGATGCAACTGGTCAGGCCTGTGGCATCTTCAGATGCCACCCTTCCCAAAAATGCGTCTGACTCCAAGCGAAGATTCCGACTGGGGCCTTGCCTGATCGATCGCTTGTCCATTCCAGAATTGGCAGGCTCCTTGGTCTTCATGCTTGAGTTCTCCTCTCACTCCACTTGAATCCACAGGTTTGATCAAGGTCACCCCAGTTGCTTCGTTGTCAGCCTCACCAGAATGCACAACGTGGAAACTGTCGATGCGCGAAGATGCCAGAATGGCCTGGCTCATTTCTTCCAGCTGCTTCTTGCGCGATTCTGCGGCACTCTTTGTCGCCTGATCTGCCTTTTCAGGGTCCGTAGTTTTGCCAAGCACAACGACGGCCCAACAAATGCTCGTTGCTCTGCCTCCGGGACGCTTGCTAGGGTGCTGCGGCACCACGCTTCCAATTGGATCTGTGCTTCTTCGGCAACCTCCTAGAGCAAAAGCCATTGCACTGGACCCCCACAATTCGGATGAACCTACGTCTCCTTGCCTTCTTCTTGCCCTTTTGTTTCGACCGGGGCTGCTTTTTGCTGCAGCCAAGCCCCTGTACAGAAGGACAAAACTCATGAGACAGTAAACGAGCCAAAACAATTGAGGCGTCGTTGGCGCAGCGAAGCAACGGGGCACCTGCCCGGTCTTCTGGCCTCATGGCAGCCGTGGGAAAAGAATCCACATCCCTCAAACTCACTTGACTGCGTCGCAATAGTCCTGTGCTGCAGCGATTCGGCCCTTAGCTGGTCCTGTTCGGATAAAGCAGACTAGCTGTGGTGCGCAGTGTTCTGATAGTCAGATATTGTTCTCTCAGAGCCCTGGCATGCAGCATGGCACTCAGGTGCATGTGGGTGCCAGTCTTCGAGATGATTTGTGCCTCGCCGCCTCCCGCCTCGCCCTGCTTTGAAGAGGCCACGGGACGTATGCTTTCGACTCTCCTCTCAGCGACAAGTCTTGGGCGCTCTTCTCTGCGGGCCAACCCGACGAGCGTCTGAACCTTCCACACGAGCAGTGAAGGAAGGGCCATCATCCAATCCTTCTTGTTTCAACTCTTTCAGCTTTCGCCAAACAATCTCGGGGTTTCATGACTTCGGCCGGGTCAAATTCCTGCCACGGCAGCGATGATGAAATGCCCTTTGGTGCTGTCTTCGTCGGTGACACGGCGGTTGCTTAATCAGAACCCCAGTTTCACATTGCGTCATTGTTCCTGTCGCATCCACTTTGTCAACTCCTCACGAAAACAGGGAATGACGCTGCAACTTGGAGACCAGGATTCCGGACACGGCTTCTCGAAGGGGTTTTGAGAGGGGAAGGGCCATGCCATGTCACTCGAGTCCCAGTAAGACAGTCAAAAACACCGCTCTTCTTGCTTGGCACGTTGCTTGTGCGATGCTGCTGCATTTCCCAGCGAGCAGCCCGTATCACTGAAACTCGAGACAGTCGGGGGCAAGCTCGTAGCTGTTTCTATGCTTGTTCTTTCTCAATCATCTGCTGCCGTGGCCTTTTCGAGCATCTGAGTCCTGTCGATTAGAGTTGTCTGCTATGGGCCAGAACTTGCATAAGGATGCGGAAGGAACTAGCAACTTATGGCTCCACGGGCTTCGCAGACAGATTCTCCACCCGCCACAAGGAAAGAAGATGTCTGCACAGAATCGATGCTCTCCCTGGTTCTTCTCAGGCTTCGTCGCTGCTTCTCTGTGCTGCTCTGGCCGGCAACCATGCAGAGTTCTACCCGAGTGCCAGACCACTCCGGACTCTTCAGCCGCAATTGTCATGACTTACAGTTCGTCGGTGCCCATGTCACTGAGGATGCTACCGGAGCCCTTGCCATCGACAGACTCATCCTGCCTGGTACTCTCCATGCAAGAGTGAAGCCACAACTTCAACAGAATTTCCAGTTCCCGGCACTGCCTCTCCGAAAGCTGCAGGCCTCGGCTGCATGCACTGTCAACTAGGCAGCCTCGTCGTCTGTTCGGAGCCGAACAGATCTCCTGCGCTGCTCGGGTTATTTGCAGAAGGGCCGACTTTTCCTGCAAGTCAATGCCAAACATAACATCTCGCTTCTCAGACACGCCGGCCCAGGCAAGGCCACCTTGAAGGAATCTCTCCGCCGCGGTTCCTGCTATTGCAAGTTTTTCTGCACCATGAGCCCACTGCATCACTCGGCCACGCCTGAAGCGCCCTGCCAAAACCTCAAGTGATTACAAACGTGCAGAAACGAGAGCGTGAAAGCGTAAAGCCTTCAAGCGAGCGACGAGAGGCGCTGCCGCTGCTGGTACCCAGGTCCTGAAATTCAGTTCGGCTGTCACCGACAAAGCGAACCAGAAGAGCAGCATCCAACCCATGCGGCCCAAACGGTTTCGACTTATACTCTGTGAGTGCACAAAACCTTGTTTGTTGTGCAACTTTCACATGCCTGAACCTCGGCATCAAACACTGTGGATCTGGAGGGCCATTTCATGGCTGATGCTTTCGACCTTCCCGTTTTATTCAGCAGACAAAGCTGTTGGGTATGTTCTCCAAAATCGGCAACCCAGGTGGCTCCAAACTTCCGGCCGGATAACATGAAACAAAATCAAGAATCTGCTCAGACGCATGCAGCTCCAAGGCCAGCGATTGAGATGACCCGGCTGCAAGCATAGTTCCCCAGACCTTGCCCCCGTTCCAATCTCTCTTTCCGACGTCCGGCCCCGTCCCCTCCCTGACAACCCCTGAAGCCTGCAAGGTCCACAGGCCCTTAACGTTGGAGCCAGGGTGATGGTGTTGACAACTCTCAACGAACCCAGGGAGTGCAAAAGCTATAAATCGAAGCCGCGGCCAAAATCGAATCAGACCCCTCTCATGTGTCGCCTGCAAGATCGGGCTCCCTCGTTACTTCCACATTCGTGCATGGGTCCAGTCTCCTCGGACCAGGCGGTGCCGTCCACACTGTGGGGACAGAACCGGCATAGGTGGGACAACATCGTTCACATGATTCCTCCCCCAAGGCCATGCGCCCCGAGCTTGTCAGAGAGACTTCAAGGTGGTTCCCCCTACTTGTGGTGCTTCGTGCTCGGAACACCTGTAGTCATCAACAAAAACACAGACACCTCATAGCAAGACATGCCACATATTGCCACATGTTCGCGCTATATCTGTCTTCCTTGACTGAAGCTCTCCCTCTCCTTCTCCCGCTCCCGCTCCCGCTCCTTTCATTCTTGGACCAGGGTTATGGTGAAGGGCTTGTCGCCCCTCACCACGCGTGCGTGTGCCCCCGGGTGCCAAAAAGTTGTAGACCATGCACACTCGGAGGCATGGACTCCCTCGGAAAAGAACAAACTATGAGTACACAAACCGTACGCTAACACTAGATGACGAGAGCGCAGCGAAGGGCATCGTGTTCCCCCGGTTCTTGTTGAGGTGTGCTTCAGCCAGGTTATTCGGTGTCGTTGTCAGGGCGCGAGCATGGCATGAAGACATGCCAGGTAGATCGCTTTGAGTATCGCGACGTTGAAGTATGACTTGTCCCCCTTATGGCGGCCACCTCCGAGGAGGGCCGCGGTCAGGGTCCAGGTGGTGCGAAACTAGCCACTTTACGGAAATGGTGACGGCGAATGACTCCAGCGTGGCTGGGCGAAGCCCGACAGGCTCCGCTGGATATACAGTCCAGGTCAACCTGGGGACCCCCCCTAAGTCGAGAGGCGACACAGGCTCCACGACAGAGGTGCACACACCTCTCTTTTTCTTGCAGAGCAGCAGCAATGCCTCCGCGATGCTGCATTGGACCGATGAAAATTGATGCTCGCAGATTTCAGCCCACCCAACGGATTCAGAAACAATCTCACGGCGAAAATCTCAAGCCCTGCCCTCCAGCGGTCTACACCGTCCTAACATGTTCGTGAATCATCGGGGCATAGAGGCAGTCCTGGGTATTCTCAAGGCTAGAGAGAGCAAGCCTCGGTCTCCAAGGCACTTCTCAAGGACAACGGCTGGAAATGATGCATTGCACGCGTTGCACGGCTCCAACAGCTCCAAGGCCACGTCTTTTCCAAAATCTGATTCCGAGCCTCGGAAGGCTCGCTTGGCCTGTTTGGCTCTCTTCGGATCTATACTGCAAGGTATCTTCTTAGATTTGTGCCGTCCGTCGCTTCGGTAACATTGCTTCCGACGCCGATCTGCTCATCCCAAACCTGTGCAACAGCCAAACATCACCCAATGAGACTGAAGATGTCAGCCCAGCACCTCGCCAGAGATTTGGAAGAGAATGGAAGAGCTGACATCGACTGGCCTGAGCCACGCATCCTACTTCCGCTATGGCCCAAACCAGCCCGAACAAGACTTAAACTTGGAGCAGCGCTCGCAGTTGCTGCGGCCAGAACAAGAGCCTCTGTGTCAGACAGCTTGCTTTCTGGCCTCAGGTTTTTTCCAGGAATGACAGAAGAAGAATTTGAAAAGGCCTTCTCAGGATCAAACAGGATCGGTAGCTTCAGCACAGAGGATGTCATCGCCATTCCTGTGTTGAAGACTGCCCCGGCTGCTGCTGCTGCTGCTAAATGCGTCGGATTCGGATTGAACAAGAGTCTCTGCCTGGCACAGACTTGTGGACATCTGAGGTGCTGTTCCTAAGTGGCCACGATACTGCTCGTGGTGACACAACCGCCAGCTTCACAAATTCACACAACGTGAAGAAACAGCAGTGCAATTTCACCCTTGCCCGACCACTCGCGCCGACTGACGAAGTGTTGCTATCGAGAGCTTCGTCATCACTGGATTATAAGGTGTGTTGGTTATTTGGTCCTGCACACCTGCTCCCTCGCAAGAATCTGCTGCAAACAACTGAACTGAGAAAGCCAGCAAGTTGGATGCACCTTTGCAACAATCGCGATCAACCGCAGAAACTGGGCTTCAGAATCAACTCAACAATTCAACGAAAACATCTGAGCAACACAAACATGTCGGCTGCTAACTCTGCACCGGCAGGACACACCATTCCGACAGTTCCACAAAATTGTCAGTCGACAGCAAGAATCTGACCCTCCAACAAATCAACAGACAATGGTGCACAAGGCATCGTGCCAGCCACGAAACTCTGTTTGCCTGTCGGATCCAAGTTCTGCTGGACGTTGCAGGAAAAGACACTTGCCCCAAGCATTCAATCAGCATAACCCCCGTGTTTGGGCAAGTTCAGGACCAGCGTTTTCTTGCAATCTCGTCATGGCCGAAGGGGTTAACATGACAGACATGACAGTGACATGGTAAGCGCTCTAAAATATTGACATGTCAACGAGAATGCAGCAAAGGCGCAGCACACGTCGCTGAGGTTCGAGGTCGGGAAGCAGCGGGACCTGCATTGAACAAGCATGGCTGAACTGATGCAAAGCTTGATCGTGTGCTCCTTCACGCTTGGTTTCCAACCTTGGAACTTCTCCCCGGGTAGCTGTCGCTATGCTGACCTTTCGAAAAAGCCCGAGGATGTCTGCAGCTGGAATCTCACGAAGACGGCATATTCCGTTTTCCAAATGCATATGCATCTCATCAGGATTGTTATGCGCGTGTGGCTGCAAGCTGCAACTCATGGCCTGTCTTGACGTGTGTGCTTCTCACCTCCCACGCTATGCAGATGCACAAGCTCCCTTGGCAGCAGAAGCAACAACCTTGTAGGCGAACAACAGCTTTCTGCGCCTGTCAAGGCAGAGCTGCTGCAGGTGTCTCCCGAGGTCGTTCAGCTGAAGTCGACAACACAAAGGACTTTCAACTCAGTCCGAGGCTGGTCCATCGCTGCAGTGGCGATCACATTCTAATCGGCGGCTCGAGGCCGGTCCACACTTTACGGCTAATGATGGTGGAAAGCTGTGGTCGTAGCTTGTTGAAATCCAGATTGCATACATTTGACCGAAGCTGGGTATGGCACGGGCATCTGACGACGCACAAGATACGTTCGTTATCTGCTCATGCCAACCATTGCCATTCCCCGCGCATTCGTCTATACGGCCCTTCCATTGAGCCTGCAGGCGAACTCGAAAGAAACCTGGAACCTCTTGCGTACTTGCTGGATATCAGCGCATGCTGTCACAACGCACAAACGCGATGCGTGACGCTCACGGCTCAACTGAATCCTTGCTGTCATTCTTGAGATCCTTCACATCCTTACACCGCATAGATCGAAACAAATGAAAATCAGCACCCCTAGAAGATGTCCAACCGTCCCATATTACAGGCTCCCCTAGCTGGCCACGTCAGATATCATTGTGCGCTGTCGCATAGGCGTACAATGCACGCTCGAAAGACACGGCCAGACAGAAAAAAAAAAGGAAGGTAATGTTCCAGACAACAGTATCCTGCAACAGTCACGTGCCTCTACATCGAAGGCAAGCTAAGATACTACAGTGCTACAGGAAGGAAGCTCTCGCGATGACAACTTTGCGGAGCTATACCTGGCTCTCAACCATACGTTTCTCGTCGAAGAATACCAGTCGGATTGAAGTGGCTCTTTTGGTTGCAACATTGCTTGGGCCAAGCTGATCTGAACCACGCGGTGCAGGGAATGCCTCTTTCGGGAGTTCCACGACACGCTACTACTGCGACAATGTCACGAGTGATTGTGTTCGATAGCTGGCGACCATGGCTGCAGATGACTGCGGCACTTTCTGATGCGTACTTCGCGTCTGTTCTTGCAACGGGGTCCAGTGCTGGTCCATGAACTTCCGCAGGCCGTTCGCATCAGTCGTTGACATGATGCCCCACTGACGGAGGCCCTCGCGCCTCACAGGCTCAATTCAAAGACAATTGCGCATCATTGAAATGTACCGCAAGGCAGTTGCTCGGACACAGAACCCGGACAAACTCGGAATGATACAGGGATCATGCTGTGCTGCAAGTACCACGGACTGCAAGACGACGACGACGACGACGACCCGATTGCACTGCATGGAACTGGGCCACGTACATCTCAGTAGCGAACTCCGCCCAGTCCGAGAAACTCACACCTGCACAGTAGGCCAAGACTCGCTTCGCTTTGGTCGTTTGGCTGCGAGTCTGAAGAGTTGTTGCAGAAAGGGTGCCTCCAAGCGTCTGTGCCTTCACGTCTGGTCCGGCAACACATTGACATGCTGTTCACAGGATAGACTCGGGCAAGCGCCTTGCGCCGCATCAGATCGGCGGCCTGCCAAGATTTGCATGGAGTGCTCGCGATGCTCGCTGACAACGCAAGCGTCACCTGGTCCAACTCCACCAGCGCGGCTGGTGGGCAGGCCAGGCTCTGAGGGCACGTGGACTGCTTGCTGCCGACTCGACTCACTGACATCCAGTCCTGGCAGTGGGCGAATGTGCCATAATCGCATGCAAGAACAGTAGCACCTCGACAGGCATTGCAAACTCCGAGACACGGACCACCTGCATGCACACTGGCCGCGGAAGTCTGCTGATTTGCTGCAGGGGTAGCTAACGCTGTTTCTCATCAGTTCTGCAGTGTTTGGCAGGTTGGGTACCTGCGTCTGGTACTTTGCCGATTTGCAGAGCTGCCACAGGAACAATGGAGCACCCGGCTTCAGAACATTGTCTGCCTCGCACAGTGCGCTGCAGTCAACAGCACAAAGTGGCCTGCACAGAGGCAGTGTATCCAGGGCTCGGACAACAATGATCGCCTCAGGAACAAGTTAAAGAAAAAAGTCTCCGCGTTATCGCTTGAGAGACAACCGATTCCTGTCGAGGCACTCCAGGCCGGACGAGAGCCAGGCTCTCCAACGTGGCGAGGTCCTCCTGCATGCCGAGTCGGAAGAGTAGTTGAAGACTTTCAGGACATGACACTCGGCCGCCAAGCCATATGTGTTCCTGGTAGCGAGACCCCCGCTGATCCATGAAAACCAAGCCGAAGCCACCACGAGCCTTGTAACATCAACAGTGGCGTGTTGTGGTCACCGTTGCCGATGCAAAAACTGAGACGAGGACTCCGCCGTACTTGCCTCAAGTGATAAGTCTGCTCTGCGACTCGCCGACAAAGACAGCGCAGCGGCATGCTAAACTGCAGGCTGGGCGGACGGCCTGGCCTTGCATGTAGGGAAGCACTTCGCGGCTATGCCCTGTCCAGACCTCGCAAGCTGCAGAACTCTGTCTTTGACGGTCCACGTATTCCTCGGGGCTGCGGCGTCCACCCGAGATGACAGACCCGCAAAGGCTATCACAGCCCGGGCTATGACTGCCTCAAAACGGAAGGGAAGGGCATGGCATGGCATGGCCAAGTGCGCGCCGCATGCGCCGCATGGCTGCGTGTGTCTGAGGTGCAAGACGTGGACGGGATCTGCCTCCAACGTCCTCCAGAACGGAGGGGGCCAAGTCCAAAGTTGCCCGCCACTCTTGAGAATATTTGGCGTGAGGCGCTCAGCTTCCCGCACTACTCGGATGTTGGGACTTGCCGTCGCGATACGAATGGAGGAGCTGCCACAATACGTGCCGATTTCCAGCCTGACGTGCTCGGCTCAGCCAACCAATCTGCAGATGAGGCGAAGTCGATAGGGTTTGACAAACTGCCGAGCGTCTGACACCAGAGAACTCCGTGCGTGCTGAGCGGCCGCCCAAAGAACCTTGGACGCAAGCTGCCTGCGTCAGACGTCAGAAGACACTGAGTGTCTGGCACCTCAGACTTCTCTCCTCCAGCAACCTTCAGCCACGTCTTGGAGCTGCCTGGCGAACCGCCGCTTGGACTAGTATCTTCGCAACCAGGTTGCAGCATTCACTTAAGCCTTTTTTTCCAGCATGTGGCCGCAATTACAAAGCTGCAGTCGGTACAGCTTAGGCAGTTGCCGATTTGTACAAAGTCTCGCAACCACCTCCAGCGACTAGCCCTGGCATTGGGACTCTTCAACGACATCCCAAAACTGTGAAAGGAAAGCTCATGTTCGAGTGATCTCGAACGTGCCGTCTAACCAGCACAGATCAATTTATCATTGTTTCTCAAGGATGCATTCAAGCCATCTGGCCAATGATCATGGCCAGCTTTTTGCCTCATGGCCTCGAGTGTAGGGAAGGCAGGTGTGTTGCATGTTCTCTTTTGTCTCAAAGCCCAGGCAAGCTTGCAGAGGATACTTGCGGCGTGCCTCGCCCTCCTCGCGGTCCCGAAACTGTGGCCAACTGAATGCCAGCAAGGCCAAAGACTGAAGGCAGATTAGTGTCGCCAGAAGGCGACAAGGAAGCCAGTCCTTGGACGAAAATGGAAGGGTCTAATTAGAGACATCTTGTGCAGTGCCGTGCATGTCGTCTGGCCTTGAATATCAACTCGAGGACCATCCAGGTGTAGTTGGAAAGTGTCCTACACTTCCAGAGGCACCCAGCTGACACGTCGGCTCAAGGTCTCTTGCTGCTAGAAGGCCAGAGCATCCAGACCACATCGGTTCGATCCATGTGGTCCGTCATTCGGCTGCAGTCGTCGACTGTGCTGGCAAAGATCATCAGAAAAGTAACCTTTGCTTACTTTCGGAATGATAATAGTTGCCCTGCCCAAAGGTAAGCGCTAGTG